TGAAAGCTTAGGATGACTCTGATTCATTTTTACATGGCTTTCACCTGGAGAAATATACTGTAGATTGTACCATTGCTGCTTTACTGGTATATTGCCATGGTGATGACGTATAATTTTATCATATCCTTCCGGGTTTGGGGTAATGGCCCAAACTCTGTCTTTTGTTATGACCATGCAACCAAACCACCATGCAAATGTAAAGAACCACTTCTATCTTTAATGTCAGCTGATTTCAGTCAGATAACATGATAGATAATTATTTTCACCCTTCTCTGCATTTCTTTAAACTATACCCAACTCAAGGTGACAGTGAGTGATGTCTTCAATTGATGCAGTATGCCCAGCTGTCAGTGTGTAGCTGTCTTTGTAGGTGTGTGGAACCTAGTCAGGATTTTGCAGAAACCATGTGAGTGACCATTTTATCTTAATACGTGTTCCTCATTGTCAATGTTCATGGTTACATTTTTGCAGCTAATTTTCCTCAGAATAGTAGATGACGTGTTCCTACTCAGCATATTCACATTTTTAGACACAGATTCAAAACTTGTTTGAGAAAACAAGTTTGCATTAAAAAATTTCATAGACCTTTTAAGTTACTTTTATCTATCAAGATAAGAATGGCAGGAGAAAAGGAATAGCACTTTTTTCTTTACTTCCTTCTATCAGCATAATTTAAAAAAATTATTTTGTTCTTCAGTTTTAACCTAATTAATCAACTCAGAATGTAAGCTGCTTAATGGAGCAAGGACATCTTTATGACAAGTTTGTTACCTTTGTAAAGCAACCATGAAAATGTTATAAACTCTAGCACATTTTGCCTTGGTTTTTCTCTGGCTGCCTTCTTTCTTTTGTTTATAAATAAAATATTTTTACTGCCTTGTTTTGATTCTCCTTATTTCTCCTGGTGTAACTGCTCAAAGGATTCTCTGTCTGGGGTGTTGCAGCAGAGCAAATTCAGACCATTCTGCTCAGAGAAGGAAGTGGACAGTTTTGGTTCCCATTTTGTACTTCTGGAACAGTTTAGGGAAGGAAGCACCTTTACACCTTTTATTGTTCGTGGTTGCTGACATAATATCCTTCCCTGACTGCTCTGTGCGTGCTTCCTGCCATTCTGTCAAGATTCTTCTGTGTTGCAGAGAAGGGATAGGCGGGTGTGCATATGTGTGTATGTGTGTGCATATGTCTGTGTGTCAGTGCTCGAAAGCGAGACATTATTGGTCAAGCAATTTGCTGCATTTTTCCTTTAGCTCTTTTCCCTTCTCCAGGCTCAGATCAATCTTCTGTCAGCTACCACTGCCTTTTGCCAAATCATATAATGAACAGAAGACTGCCAAAAATAAAGTTCCTCTTTTTTTAAGCAGTCTGGTTTGTTTTGGTTTTGATTTTTTTTTTTTTTAACTACTTGGCTCTGCAAAAAATGCAGAAAACGATAACAAAATAGCATTTAAGTCCATGTTTCTTTAAATGTAATTTGTTTGCACATGACTATATTATTAAGATGGAAGTTTTCTTTTATGTGGAGCTACTTCAACAAAGCTCCTTTTTTAATTCACTTGGATAATTGAGGCCTGCAGTACTATTTGATTTTTGTATTACAGTCAACTTTTCTAGTCAATGTGCTTTATTAGTGTTAGTAAAATAACAATTTACCAGTTAACAGGAACTTTAAATACTTACTAACAATCCTTAGTTCTGCAAGAACTTAAAAAGATATTGAGACCACTGGTGAAGTCCTAAGCAGCCATGGGAATTTGCTGGTCTCCACAGTTCTTTACATTCTGTTTGACTTGGAAATTACCAAGCTTTGCAGATTATAGCCCTTGCATGAGATGACTTGATTTACTTATCTGAATTTCATTAATTGGGAATCAGTCCTACTTTTTTTGTGTATATACTAATGAAATATATAGAACTATGAGCTAATACATAGTAAGAATATCACTTGAAGGACTGTGTGTTGATAGGTGGGGATGGGGGGGTTCTAAAAGGAAATAAATTTGATACAAAAATTCAAAACTTTTTATTTGGAATTGGACTAGTAAGCAAAAGGCAAACTAGGACATATAGGAGGAAACTTTTTTTTTTCATCCTTGCAAAAAAACCTCACTGCCCATTGAAGCAAATTTATGTTTCTTTGCAAATTATATGTTTCATACAGATGACCTAATCATAGTTCTTGTATAAAATTCTGCTTATCAAGTCTTGCAAGGATTACTTTAGGATAACTTTGTGTAGATCACAGGAATTTTAAGGTTCTGAGTTTAAACTGTCTGTAAAAGCTGTTCTTGTTTGAAGACTGGTCTTAAATGTAGAACTGGTAAGTGTGTAGGAGGGACTCGAACATACTGCTCCTCTGCTGTGATTTTTATCCTTCCTGCCAGAGTTTTCTCAGTATTAAGTGATTTTTTCAGAACTCACTAAGCATCAGCATCTTGATCTGCAGAGCAGCTCATCTTCACAAACCAGCCACAACTGTTCTAATCTGCCCACCCTGACCTTCCACACTGCAGTGAATAGCTTAGGCAGACACTGCTGTAAACCAAAAGCACCACTGGCCTCAGCTGAATGAAAGAAAAGGAAGTTGTTCCATATGCTCTTGCTGTGGATTAGAGTATGGGTTTGCTTCTGCAGAGAAAGACAGTTGGACTCTTTGAGTCCTGCATGTGCATGGGAAACACCATTCTAATTTGTACTTTGTGTTGGAGATAAGACTATAGGAAAAACAAGAAAGAAACCCAAACCAAGGAAATGTAAAACTGTTTCTTAAAATAGACTGGGTTTGTTTGTCAACACTGAAAATCAGATAAGATGGTCTCCTAACTTTGTTTGGGAAAAAAAGCTTTTAAAAATACATTTACAGAATATATTTATTTCAATTTTTTTTGGCCTTTTTTTTTTTTGCTGTTGTTGCAAATATGATCAACAACCTTTGTATCTATTTAAGCTGTGAGTAGCTATTGCTTTCAAATATAAAATGCAGCTAAGAATTTTTGCAGTCTATATTTTGTTATAGTTACAATATGAATTGTTCCACTTTTTGTGTTCTGCATTATGGTAACAATATACAAATATGCCCAGAAAATAATATAAAAAAGATATATATTTCATATATAGAAATATAATAAGTATACTTTAAGATTTGTTTTGCCCAACAGGTTAATTGCACCATAGTGACTAGCTAGAAAACTCAGACTGTCTGCTTATTTATTAATTTTTTTTTTCCTTAGTGAGTGATAAAACACTTGAACAGCTTAAAGTTAATGTATGCTAAGAAAATCAAAAGAGAATCGAAGACCAGAAGGAGTGAGATCTACTTTCCTACCTCAGTAGCTTTGAATCAGAGCCAAATAATGGATTAAATGAGCAGGATATCAGCTTAGTGTTATGCAATATATTATGAGAATTTATCAGGTTTGCTGAGATACTGTAAGTTTAGAATAAATGAGGAAATACCAGTCTCTGTTTTAAAATTACAAATTTTTTACTTCCAAGGCAATATTTTTGCTATACTTCAGAAGAACATTTAACTTCATATTGTTCAGATTTCTTTTTCTTATTCTGTGTTTCAAAAACCTTTGTGCTGTTCATTTAAAACATACAAAAATATACTAATATGGTAAACTGAGATTATAAAGAGGAAAAACTTGTATCTTTTACCTTTATGCTAGACAAAATTATACTAGACAAAATAATTTTTGTAATTTTTACTATTTCCATGGACTCTTTTATTATTAAAATAAACGTATTTTATTGTTAAAATACTTTCAACATTACTGTTGAGGCAAACACCCCATGAGTGGAGACACAAGGCTTGACTCCATTTTTCTGAGAAGGCTGATTTATTATCTTATATATTATACCAAAATATTACAATAAAACTATACTAAAAGAATAGAGAGGAAAAAAAGATCAGAAGGTTACAAAGAACAGGAATAGAATAGAATGCATAACAAAAATCTTGTGACTGTTCACAGCCTCGGCACAAGTGGCTGTGATTGGTCATCAATTGAAAAAAATCCACATGGATCAATGGAAGATGCACCTGTTGCATTCCACAGCAGCAGATAGTTATTGTTTACATTTCTTTCCTGGGATTCCCAGCTCCTCAGGAGGGGAAAAATCCTAGGAAAGGATTTTTAATAAAATATCATAGCTACACATTACATAAATCAATTATGTGGTTTATAACATTTTGTGAAATATGCTTCCTGCATAGTGTATTTTTATGTACTGTACATTTTTCTCCTTAGCTCTGTGATAGAGCCAGTATTGTAAAGCTCATGCATTACTAAAACAGTGAAAATATTTTTCAAAACATTCTTAAAATTGTTATCTGCCTCTATTGTTCTGTTTTATAAGAAAACATGTGTTTACTGGTTAGAAATCCTTTGCAAAACATTTTAGAATTTACACTAGAATGAAATGAAGGAAAAAGGCACTAGTGTTTTTTCAAGTATCTTCAGTAATACTTTCACTAATTTATATTTTTAAAGAATGAAGTTAAGAACTTTGGATTTAAAGTAGCTGGCAACTTATATATCAAAGAACAATTAAATGCATGTCCATCGTATTTGCATAATGAGGGAAATTATCACCTCTGCTGTCAAAGCACAAAATTGTTTTCAGAAATAAATTAGCTGGCCTGCTTAACATAGATATTGAACAGTTCATTAACTCTCTGATTTAGGTAATTTTTCATATTAGAGCTGTGAATGATATTTAAAATTAGAGACATTAATTCCATTAAAATTTTCACAACTTGTACTTCAGTCTTTTTCTTTATTTCTTGATATATTTCTATTTGGTGTTTTCTTTCATAAAAGAAAGCCTTTGAATATTTTTTTTTCCTCCATGCATTACTTGTTTTATAGGTCCAGTAAATTTTAGTTCTAATTTACTTGTACACTAAATAATAATAAGGATACTTGGCCAGCTCCATGTAATAAGTTCCTTCTGGTTATCAATTTTGTGATAACATTTGATTTCCTTTCTGTGTTTAGCAGGAACGGATGCAGGGGACTGTGAACTGAGTGGTGCAAGTGCTGAAGAAGGAGGTTTGTTTTGAGGAAACAGGAAAGAGGAATAAAAGAAGGGAAAAATACGTAATTTTAAGGAAGAAGGAGAGAAAAAAAAACGGGGACTATGGGGAGAAAAAAGATTCAGATTACAAGGATTATGGATGAACGTAACAGACAGGTGAGTTGCAGAAATACCTGACTTAAGCATCATATTTTATTTATAAGATAACTTCTTATTAAAGGTGATTAAAAAGTTGATAAGTCTGTGTACCCATGCATGTACCAACATATACATATTCACAGTGTATGTTAGACTATCAAAGAAAAAATAGTTTTGTAAACAACCTGAAACCTCACACACAGTGTTTTCAAGTTCAGTAACATGCACAGTGAGGAAGTTACTACTTGAAGACTTTATTCTATAAAGACTGCTCTGTGTGCTCTGCTCTACTTGCTTTGAATTCAGTCTGGAATATACACGGTTAAGCACATCTGTGAGTTGCTACAGGACACAGCTTTTAGTACTATATTTTCTGAACTCTTATGAGTTATTATAATATGAGCACTTTCATTTAAATTCAGACATCCCAATTATTGGTGCTCCTTCACCTTTGCAGTGTCTTTATTTTCACCTCCTTCATATAAAAAAGACACTACTTCATAAAAAAGTTTCCTCTTTTCCTGTCTGAATTTTAAGAAGGATTTGAGTAGCCTAACACATTCTAAAATCCACATACAATAATACTAGGCTATGGTAGTTATAAAACCATCGGTATTTAGCTAAGGCTAAATAGGTCCAATAGGATAGATTAACTAATTTTTAACTCTGTTTTAAATAAAATTACTAGGGAGCTGTCACATATTATCAACACTATCTCTGCTAGTTAAAATATGACCATAAATTAGGAAATTTTCTTCCCTGTGTTCACAAAAATAAAATTCAGTAACTGATGTCGTTAAATAATATTGGTGAAAATTGCTGCTGTTTACATTTGATGTAGATGAATGGATGTAGATGTTTTGTTGAAACTGGAGATCCACAATTGTGAGAACCTCTCCATATAATTATTTAATACTGAACATTAACATGGTTAATGTTCTTTTTAGACCTGGCTGCAATTTAGGAATAATCTTCAGTAGCTGATTTTTAAGAACTTGATACTGAGTTACTATTAATATAATAGTACCACTAAGTTAATCTATAAATATTTCTTCATCTATTATGGGATTTTTTAAAGAAGCTGTTAGTCATGGAGGATTTTATAAAGCCATAAAAAACTCAGCCTAGGCATAACAACAAATTATAGTCCTTAAATATGCTTTCCAAGAATTTTTAAATATTGTAGTGTTAGTAGTAACTTGTGATCTCTATGACAGAAAATCATGTGTAACAGCAAAATGTTCCTTATGATGGATGCATTTTGTGTTTTCCCTAAAAGTTGCCTGTTTTGGTGAGACAAGCTAAATAGCCATAATTATAACAATATATAAATGTCATCATATTTATTTTAATTGTCTTATAGCATGGAGTTGAAATTGGATGTGAAATATTGAATTGAATTTATTATAAATATTAAGTCAGTAGTTGTTTGAAACTTGCCCATGCTATAATGGCTTGTTTTTGAAGGGAACTTGAATTCTTTTGTAAATGATACCACAAAATTTTGCCATTCCCAACGTTAGATCATACAACAGTTTCATTCTCAACTTGCTTGCTCAAATGTAGTATTTACAAAGATTTTAGCCCCACTTTTGTAAAAAAAACCCCACTTTTAAATTATTAAATATACTTTTAAAAAAGGAGACAGCTAGTCTTCAAATTATTCACAGTAGAGTTTCAAGAATTCCTGAGCAAGCTTTCAGAACTAATAATTATGAATAAAACTGTAACACTAGAATACTAACAACTGTAGTGTTAGTGCAGGAAGTGTTTGTCTCACTACCATTTATTAGACACATAGAATCACAGAATGGTTTGGGTTGGAAGAAACCGAGTTCCAACTCCACTGCCATGAGCAGAGACTCCTTCCAAAAGACCAGGTTTTTCAAAGCCTGACCTCATACACTCTAAGGAACAGGGCAGCCATAGTTTCTCTGGTCAACCTGTACCTGTGCTTCACCACCCCCACAATAAAGAATTTTTTCCTAATGTCTAATCTAGACCTACTCTCTGTCAGCTTGAATACATTCCCCCATGTCCTGTCACTCCACGCCCTTGTAAAAAGTCGTCCTCCATCATTCTTGTAGACTCCCTTCAGGTACTGGAAGGCTCTAGTTAAGTCCCAGCCTTCTCTTTTCCAGGCTGAACAATCCCAATTCAATATTTGCTGATGTATCTTAGCCACTGTGAGCCTGGAGGTATAGATTTACATTATTTTACTTTCCATATAGTAAAACTGGCTTGATTCTGCTTCTTATTTCTACTAATATATTAATGATCATTTTAAAAGTATTTCTAAGTACTTTATCTTGCATTAGTGCCCTGATTTAAAGCTCAATAAAGCAAATGAAAAGATTTTCATCATTTAATTGGACTATAGGTTTAGGCTTTTTAATTTTAGTAATATATATGTGATTAAATACAACTGGATTTTTACTAATATCTCATTGGGTTTTTTAACCATTTATATGAGACATACTCTTTTGCAAACCTCACTGGTTCTTAAAGTATTTAAACAAACTGATGCTTTAGCATAGCAGCATCAGTTTGTTTCCTAACTTGCACATTTCCAGTAATCTTAAAATATTAACTTTCTTATATTCCTATTATTTCTTCTTATTTGATTGCATAAAAAAAAAAAAAAAAAAAAAAAAAAAAAAAAAAAAAAAAAAAAAAAAAAAGAAGAAGAAGAAGAAGAAGAAGAAGAAGAAGAAGAAGAAGAAGAAGAAGATCAAAATGTTGCACCAGAAAAAAAATTGTTAAATTTTTTTTGATTAGTGAAGCTAAGATACCAGCTCAAGCACAGTTCCACAAAGCCTATTTGTAGCTCCATTTACAGGTGGAGATATTTTCTTTCTACCTCACCAAAAAACATTTGCAAGAACAGAATCAAGTGGCTTGGCTAGAAACTGCCTTATTGTTGCTTACATTCAAACACAATACAAGGTATGTTATACATTGTATACCTGGGTGGTGCACCTGGATGGTGTTCTCAAGCACATAAATCCTCTGCAGTACAGCACATGTTGGTAAAAATACATGGAACCTGGATCAAATGAGGAGCTATAGCAGTAGTTTCATTATTCTGTCTCCTCTCCTAGTGTAAATATCTATTTGGAAATCAGAATATTTGCATAATGGTTCAAGTTGCTACAAGGCCTGGGGAGCAAAATTCTTGTCCTTGATTTTCCACTCAATTTCCTTCTCTATGTCAGCCATTGAATGATGTACTTATTCTCTCTGTGAAAAAGCTGTTCTCTTCCACACTACTATCTGCTATGGTAGAAGACTCCCCTACTCTTCAAAGTGCTTTTATGAGTGGATTGGGAAGGACAAAAATATAGCTGATCTCTCTTCAAGAGAATTTCTTCTGAGCAAGTCTAGTTGGTTGGATTTGCGTACTTTAGTGATCGGTAATAAAAGTAATTTCAAACTATCCAGAGTCATATTTCTGGCTGCAAATATCAGAGAAATGCACAATTTGAGGATACAATCTGCACTTTTCCAAAAACTATTTTAAGCTTTTACTTTTGGGGATAAATTAAAGGGAAACTACTTCAACTCAGTCATTAGAGACCCAGTCGTTTTACCCTGGCCTGCTTAAGAATTCTCACATTGACTTTAGTGAGTGAAGAATTCAGGACTTTAACTGGCAGAAGCCATTAATTTAATGATGTTTCTTGTGGGCTGTAAGTTGGCTATATTTTTCTAGTCCTCATTGATATCTTATGGTGACAAAGACCATATGGCACAAATATTTGATTCTATGAATGATCATGGATTTTCTTTGGTTGGAAAGGTTCCAGAGAAGACTACCTGACAAATTCCTTTTCACTGTTTTTTGACACATGTAGAAGGAAAATTAATAACTGCCATACCTTGATTAAATATTTATTTCTTTTGTGTGGTTTGGTTGCCACCATAGCATTAAATGGAAATCAAAACTCTCAAGTGATTCCTGTTATAATTAGACAAAGTGATGAAATATTTTCTTGTTACTCCAGTGATAATTCTTGGATAATATAGTCTTCATAAATGTGGAAAGAATCCCTGGTAATATTGTTCAGGTTCAACAAGGTTGTGAGGTTGTCCTAGCTTTGTCAACAGATCATTCAAATAGCTTACATGATATTAGTTCCACCATCAGCAGAATCAATAGCTAAAAATGTTAGCATTGACATCTGATGCTAGAAGTTCCTGACTGCTACAAGTTCTTTCTGTGGAAATGTCAGTAGAGCGGATTGGAGAATTCTGGTAACACTTCTAGGATGGTTAAAGAAAGAAAAAGAGGGAGATCACTTGGAAAAACGTGTGAACTTTATTTTCCTGTATTTTCTTAATTGAAAGAAATAATTTATCTACTTTTGCTATGGTCAACACATGAAGGAAAAATTGTAGTGTCCTTGTGGTTTTTTTGGGGTTTTTATAAGTGTGAAACATTTTGTTAGTTTTAATGATAGCCTTTTGCAGTCTGCTTCAGATGAGGACCAATTGAAATTTTTTGCAGCCATCCAGACATGGCTGTTGAGGCCTAAAATAAATAGGTATAATGACATAAATGATATTGTCTTACGGTTATACAAGGTCTCTTACAGAGTATCTCATTAAATCCATGGTCTGTGAGCTAAATCCAGAGGTATATTGACCCAGGAATGAGGATGTTATTGACCCAATGATTTTCTGGTGTCAGATCTGGAACACTCTCTTGCATTTGATCCCCATTTTTTGTCTAATTAATATTAGGAAATGTGAAGCCTTACAGGATGATGCACCATTTTTTGTCCCTATGATTTTCGTTCTCATTAGTTGTGCATTTTTTTCTGGCTCCTGAAGAGTCACATTGCAACTGAGTTTATCATATCTAATGATTCTGCGCAGCATTCATTTCTTTCAATTTGTAATGAGCTGCCAGGGTCTTAATTTTATTAAATACCATAGTAAGTCTACACTTCAATATTAAGGTGTTTAACATTGAAACACCCTTTTTAAAGCATCACTTCTATGTAAATATGTAGGGT